AAGCCCCTTCTCGTGTGTGTGTGTGTGTGTGTGTGTGTGTGTAACAAAAGTGCTCACCTTTTCAGCATGAATGTGATAAAGTGACATTCTAGGAGCATAAAGGGCTAGACTGTTAAATTCTTATATCAGATATTATTTATATCTTTTCAGTACACCACCACTCTTCTCTCCATGAACTTTTTGAAGATCCTTTGTATCTCTTTAAATGCACTTAATATTCTTATCTAGGGTTAATTTCATTACCCTATAATTTGTGAAATACAAAGGGCCTTTTTAAGATTTTAAAAAAATCATTTTATTGGGGGCTTGTACAACTCTTACCACCATACATACATACATTGTGTCAAGCACATTTATACTTTTGTTGCCATGATTATTCTCAAAATATTTGCTTTCTGCTTGAGCCCGTGGTATCAGTTCCTCACACACAACTCCCCACCCCCCCCCCCACACACACACACACAAACCCTTGATAATTTATAAGTCATTATTGTCATGTCTTACACTATTCGACGTCTCCTTTTGGGCATTATATGTAGATCCTTGTGATTGGTTCCCCCTTTCTCCCCCACCTTCCCTCCATCCACTCGATATTGCCACTCTCACCACTGATCCTGCTGAAGGGATCATCTGTCCTGGATTCCCTGTTTCCAGTTCCTATCTGTACCAGTGTACATCTTCTGGTCTAGCTGGATTTGTAAAGTAGAATTGGGATCATGATAGTGGGGCAGGGGGAGAAAGCATTAAAGAAAGTATTGTTTCATCATTGCTACACTGGGACCTGACTGGCTGGTCTCTTCCCTGCAACCCTTCTGTAAGGAGATATCTAGTTGCCTACAGATGGGCTTTGGGTCTCCACTCTGCACTCCCCCTCATTCACAATGATATGTTACTTTGTCCTTTGATGCCTGATAACCTGATCCCTTTGACACCTCGTGATCACACAGGCTGGTGTGCTTCTTCCATGTGGGCTTTGTTGCTTCAGAGCTAGGTGGCCGCTTGTTTATCTTCAAACCTTTAAGAACCCAGACACTATGTCTTTTGATAGCCCGGCATCATCAGCTTTCTTTACCACATTTGCTTATGCACCCATTTTGTCTTCAGTGATCATGTTGGCAAGGTGAGCATCATAGAATGCCAGGTTAATAGAACAAAGTGGTCTTGAATTGAGCGAGTACTTGAGTGGAGGCCCAATGTCCACCTGCTACCTTAATACTAAACTTATAAATATATGCACATATATGTATTTCTCGGCCATATATAAATATATTTACGTATGCACATGCCTGTAATTAGACCTCTATAAATGTTTTTTGCCTCCAAGTTCTTTCCTCTATTTCCTTTTAATTTCTTCTTGTCCCGCTAGCATGTTCAGCCTTCATTGGGGTTTCAGTAATTCCTTTTGGTTACGTTGACCAACCCCTACCAGGCCTCCTACATCTACCTTGGCACCGATTTTGGATCACTCATTGTTCCCTTGTCCCTGGGTTTGTTAACGCCCACTTCCTTTCCCCTGCCTCCCCCTCCCCCATGTTCCCCTGGAACTGTCAGTCTCCTTGTTTTCTCTTTCAGATTGTTTATCCCGCCTTATTTAGACAGAACTGCATAAGTAATAATATGCACAAAAACATGACAGAGCAAACCAAATCAACAAAAGGAAAGAAAAAAACAATGACTAAAAGAAAAGCATGTAAATAGTTCAAAGTCTGTTTGTTGACCTTTAGGAATGTTTTCCGGTTGAATCTGATAGGATGCCGTGCCCTGGCCCCAAAGCCTATTTTTGGTATTCCCTGGAGACTTCCTTACTCAGCTCTCCTTGCTTTTCTGTTGCAAGCCCTTAGTGTTTTGCCTCAGTGTAGTGGGGTCAGATTGGGCGCAATTCCTGCAATGTGTTTCCAGTGTTGTCCCCCATAGGGCGATAGGTCAGTGAGGGATGTCACGTCTCATAGTGGGGCCAGCCATATGGTCCTCTCTTTGCATTGGCTGCTCTGAGCAGGGTTATTGTCCTCAAGGCTTGGTGGGCCAGCATATGTTCCACTCTCTCTTCCTCCTCCTTCATTTGCTCTGATCAGACCTGTCCCTTCCCCCAAGCTGTAGCTTCAGTGCTGTCTTCCTCTGAAGTAAATTCTTCTGGGAGGAGGGGCAGCTGTCCACATAGTTGGGACTGGTACCGGTCCCTCAGACCTCTCTCTACTGGTTCCCTGCTTCATGCCGGTTTGCACTCAACATCTTGGAGCATCGGGTCGAAGTCTGGTCCCTCTTTCCCTGTTGAGATATAAACAATATCCTCCCCTTGGATGGGTTAGTGCCCTGTTCCCCCGCTACCCATTTCTTTTTTGTTTTCTTTTTCCCCCCTCCTTTTTAGTTGGATACCATATGTATCCCTGGATTTGGTTCGGCCCCTGCCATACTACCTGAACCTCACCCCAGGAATGTATGTATACAGTAGCTTTTCCCCTATGCCCCTTTTGCATTTTTGAGCTTACCTCAGCAGACTCATGTTGTACTTGTCCTTTAGTGCTTGGTTTACTTCGCTTAGCATACTTTCCTCCAATTCTTCCCATGCAGCGATGTGCTTCATACATCCATCACTGCTTTTTAGTGAGGCGTAGTATTCCATTGTATGTCTCTGGGAGACCCCTAGGAATGCTTCTTCGAACTGCCTGCAGCTAATTTCACTATGGAATTGGCCTACCCCTTTATCCTCCTGTGGTCGCACTCTTTCCCCCATCAACCAGTGTTCTGTTATTTGGAGGGCAAGTTGGATGGTCCTCTCGGGATGCTGGTTGCGTGGTTGTGGACCCATGAGGATAGTGCTGTACTGGGTGATCTCACAAGAAGCCGTGATGGTGTGGGCCTTTTCAAATTTTATGGAATCAAAAGCCAGTGTTAATTTTTCCATTGATACTTGAAGCCACCTTATCTAAAATTAATGTATCTTATGTATATTCTAATGTTTTCATTGGAAAATACAGCAAATCTTTGGGCAAAAATTTTAGAATAATAACCCAAAAATTACCTGGTTAAGTTATTTGTTTATGTTCTGTTTACAGGATGCAGTTAAAGAGCACACACTTACACACACACACACACACACACACACACACACGCACACACGCCTTTCGCCTCCTTTCTGATTTCTCCACTCTGGTTGTGACCAAGGAGTTGCATGCGCCCTGCACCCTTGTGCCTTTTCATCTGCTTTCCTTGAAGAACCTCGCTGCAGACTCAGCACCGTAAACTCGTCACTCCTGTGCTTCCCTTAGCATGTGCCTTGCTCGTACTCGGTGGGCTTGGTTGGACTTCCCAACTAGACGGCGACGCTCTGGGGCTTCTGTATTTCTCTGTTGCCTGGCTCAAAATAGGAGTGGGCTTTTAAAAGTTTATGCAAAATGGAATTAAAAGATAAGGGAAATTTTCCACAAACTTTTCCAAACCCCTTCATACACCTGTTGTATGTTTAAGTAATAATAGACTGTCTTCAGTTTTTGCCTTTTACATTTTTTGGTGTTATACAGAAAGTTGGAAATCCTGAATGTGTGGCTAGGAAAATGTTCACAGATTGAAGACACTCATAAAAGCAGCCTTCCAGCATCCCAAGAGCCCTCGGGGCTGCCTTTGTGTCCTCATTCACTCACTGTTCCCCTCTTCTCTGATTTCTAAATCATCCATTACTTTTCTCTGTTTTGAACAGGAAATCCATGGGTTCTCAGTGTGTGGTGTTTTGTATTTGACTTCTCTTGTCATCCTGGTGGTTGTGTGGTTCGTTTCTATTCCTGTGGGTGGTTGTATTTCAGACCCTGGTGACTAGAATACTGTGGACACACATACAACACAGACGGGTTGGATTACTTATTTTTATTCTTTTATTTGTAGAAGGAGCTGAAGAGGAAAAAATGGAAACAGACACTGACGGTCAGCAGGCTGAAAAGGTGAAGATTGTCTGTTTGAATCTCCCACACTAGGAAACCCACAGAGAGCATACCTTTCAAAACACAACGGTTTGGTTTGGCTTGGTTCCCTCCCCCCAGATCTTTTGAGTCCCTCACAAGGCACTGTAAGTGGTCCTCCATCAGCTGTTAGCCTTGGCTGCTTTGAGGTATAGTTGTCCCAGGGCATAAGTAGGGCATTTTATGTTTGTTTGGTTGTTTGTTTATTCATTGAAGACTATCCAGCCTGAGACATAGTTGAGAATAGAAATATAAAAACGTATGGTTCTTAGAAATAACAAGTGGAATAGGTGTAGGTCCCATTCTTTGGACGAAAGAACCACAGAGGAGTAAGGGCTTTTCCAGGAGAGGTCACAGGCCGCAGGAGACCAGAAGAATGTCCAGAAAAGGCAGCTTGTGAGTTGCGTTTCACAGCAGGCAGAACTTGACATGGAGCAGAGAGAATGAAAGTTCCAGCTGGCTGGAGAGGGAGACACTGACTTGTTTCTGTTGGCGTGTGAGGGACATCAACGTGGCCAGTGTTTTTGTGACCTGATTCCTGCGTCACAGGCACAGTCGACGGTAAAATAGGCTAGTGAGAATGTACTTGACCTGCTGCCTGGTCTGGTCTGGGTCTCGATCCAGTTGAACAATCACTTGTTTAATTAATAAGTAATAATAATAATGCACCTGACATTCCTTTGGCAAGTGTAACTCTGGGGCTTACGGCATAGGATGCAGAGAGAACAGGGGCTGTGTGCAACATGCATTATCTGAGCGGTCGTTAAGATGGTGAAATGTTTTTCTCTGATTTTATTCATTCCTCCTGAATTTGTTCCCCAAGGCACTTCAGAACCCAGTCCACTTCTTTCCAAAAATAAGGAAACCTTTTACTAACACATTTTATAAAATCATTTCATTGGGGGCTTGTACAACGCTTATCACAATCCATCCATCCATTCATTGTTTCAAGCACATTTGTACATTTGTTGCCTTCATCATTCTCAAAGCATTTTCTTTCTACTTGAGCCCTTATTAATAACACAGCTTAACTTACTTGCTGTTCTCCACGTTTGTGTCCCTTCAGACAGAAAACAAAAGTGAAAATGAGATGAGTGACAGTGACAAAACTCACGACGGAGACGGTGAAAAGCGCAGTGAGAAGGAGCAGGACAATGATGTCAGTGAGGACATTAAATCAGGTAACCTGAGCGACCGATGGAAGGCCTAGATGATTGTGGGCAGTATCATTGTACAAGTTGATTTTGTTAATTTCTTTTGAGAGGGTGTCTTGGTGTAACACTGTTTGTGCTTAACTCTGCAAGTAGGTTGCAGTGCTGATGCTGGTGGCCGGTGTTTCTGGTCTTCCTTTTCAGCCCCGTGTAGATGAGCACATTACTCACCACAGCTGATTGTCACCACACAGGCTTGCATGTTATTTTTAGTGTCTGTTGATGACACATCACATCGTACTTTGCTCAGAAGGCCTTCAGAGTGAAGTACTCTATTCTCAGCGTCTGATTTTCCTCCCACCCTGCCGGGTTCCCAGAACACTTCATTGACTGATACACAAACACGTGGCTTTTGGGGCTTTTCTTTTCCATCCAAGAGGACTCCGTACAGAGTTTAGAGAAAGGAAGGACAGAGTGCCATTTAGAAAACCCATCCTCAACAGAAGCTGACTTAAAACACATAGGAACGGTTCAGAAAAATCTGAGCAAAGAAGAGCAAGGCCCTGAGATCTGCTTGCAGCCCCAGTCCTAGTTTGTCGTGTTGCCGAGGTGGGAGCTAGATGGGTTGTTGAGGTGGGTGTGCTGGTGATAAAGGTTTCTGGATTTTTTCAGAAGAAAAGGAGGCTGAGGAGAACAAAGAGCTCACTGATTCATGTAAAGAGAGAGAGAGCAATGTCGGGAAGAAGAAAGTCGAACATGAAATCTCGGAAGGAAATGTAGCCACAGCCGCAGCAGCTGCTCTTGCCTCCGCTGCAACCAAAGCCAAGGTTTGCCCCCAACAGCCCTTCTGTAGCGCTTGCTTAAGCTGTGAATGGTGGGATTGTGTTTGGGTAATTGGGAACATTTGTGTAAAGAGACTCACACCCAGGCAGTGGAGACTGTTGGCGTGAGTGGCAGTTCTAGGGTGGGAGATCCGCAGGCAGGAAGAGGTGGTAGAAATGGTGGATCCTGTCCTAATAAGGGATGGATTACCTTCAATGGGTTCATTGTGTCATTTGGCCCAAGACTGCAGAGCTTGAAGGCCAATTTAGATTCTTATGGGGACTAATTATCTTTCTGTTTTTAATTTGCATGCAGAGTTTATTCGGCACGTAAAGTCCAGTAATTTCTACCAGATTGAAATATTTATGATTTTTAAGACAAAAATTTGCTTCCTTGTAAAAACACCTCACCCTTATCTTCCAGGCTGAAGGGAAAGAGAGGAAACCTAAAATAGCTCGCTCGCTCCTTGAATTTGCCAGCTTTCTTGTGGGTGGCTTTCTCTATTTATAACATAGTATCGGCTGCACAGCATACTTAAGTAGACAAGATAATGTTATTTCCCTGCTTTGTGTTAAATTTGCCTTTTAAAACATTTCAGACATGAATGTACGAAGGTTGGGGCGGGGGTTGGGGAGCGGTTATTTTTCTTTTTGTTTTTTAAATTCACTCTTTTAGGTGAACGTTTAACCATAGCAAATTAGGTTTCAGCTTAATAATTTTTATGCAGATTGTTCCATGACATTGGTTACAATTTTTGTAAGGTGTGCACATTGTTACATTCATTTCTTTTGCCATGTTTTATTGTTTTTGTTCACTTCATTTCCCTGCCCTTCCTTAGCTTTCTCAGTCTTTGTTTAAGGTAACCAGGTAACCGTTAACCACTTCATCTCATGCCCTTGATCATTTAGGGCAGCACGGCTGGGTGATAATTGTAATTTAAAGGCAAGTCTGTTGTTTGTATGAAGGTGAACCCCAAGAGTAGCTTCTGTTGGAAGTTCAAAGAGATCGTGGGAAGAGTCTCGAGGGATCTTCTCATTCTGTCAGCCCCATAGAAATGGAATTTTCTGTTTTTCCACTTCTGTGTGGGGGTCTTCTATTTTGTCCGTGATGATAGCTGGGCACCACTTCATTCTTCTGGTCTCACACAGGATGAGGCCGGAGGTTTCCAGACATATTGGCAATGGCTAAAGTGTAGGTAATCCGCTTTTGCAGCCCCACCTCCCGCCACCGCCCCCTTTAGGAAGCATTGATGTAGATGATCAGTCCTTGAATCTTTGGTTTCCAATATATGACACTTTAAAAACCCTTTCAACCATTCTCCATTCAACCCTCAGGAGTGGGTGCAGCAGCAGTCCTCTCCTTTTGTCTTGAATTGGTGCCATTAAAACTTGATTTTGATGACCTGCTAGGATCTTCTCTCCTAGTCTTTCATTCCCGCAGACAGTCGGTTGCTGTGAACTATGACTTCAAGCGTATTTAAACAGAGCCATTTGTGAGCCAGTGCAGTCCTTAAGACTAGTGTGAGTATTCACCTGTCTGACAGAGGTGAGAACTAGGGGAGGTCTTTTTACAGACTCCCTTGGTAGTAGGATCAGTGCATATAGTCTCCCCCAGACGGATACCCCAACTGATTGCTATTACTACAGTTGCTTGAGATTGTTTTATACTTGTCCATGCCAGTATTTTCCAAAGATATCGCCTGATCTTTAGAGGTCTTCTCTCAATTTTAGGTGTTCACGCTACCCTAGTAACCTTCATCTCTTAGTGTTTTTTTTAGGCATTCCCTTGCTTATGTGAGTACTGTTGTGGACACCAGTTACACTCTTAGTTACAGCAGTGTTCTGCCAAGTTTGGTTTGGGTCATCTCCTAGTCTCTGTACCATCTAAATTATTATTTCCTGATTACTGCTACTGTTGTGGGGTCTTACAGACCTTCACGTTGTTTCAGGTTTCTTCTCCCATGTTATAGATGAGGCACCAGCAGCCACATGACCTTTAGCCTTGTGCCCTTTCTCAGCTCATTGCACTTCCATCGCCCCTATCATCTTTCCGTTCTTACTCTTTTCATTTTCCATAGCTGGTCAGCTCCTATCGAGCATTCACAACCCTGCAGCCCTCATGCTGGACTGATGGCCACCTCCTCCCATGTCTCTTGCCTGTCTTCATTCCATTCTCTTTGCTACATAGTACATTTTTTTATTGAAGTAAAACTTACACACCAATAAGGGAATCGGTAAACCAATATACTGAGTTAATATTTCAGAATTGGAACCCACCTGTATAAGCAGTGTACACATCAAGAAATAAATGTCAAATGGGGAGCTGATATCAGGTGCTCAAGTAGAAAGAAAGTGCTTTGAAAATGATGATGGCCGTATATGTGGGATGACACAGTGGATGAAAGTATGGATTGTGTTAAGAGCTATAAGAGCCCCCAATAGAAGTATTCAATAAAAATTAAAAAAATAAAAGAAAATGTCATACCCAGAAACGTTTTCGTATTTCCTTCTAATTGCGATGCCTTCTCCCGTGGGAATAACTAACATCATGGATTCTTTTTTCCTGTTACGACCTCGTGAGAGTGGAATCATAGAGTATATAGGCATCTCTTAAAATGTAAATATTCTGTCTCTTTCTTTAATAACCTCCCTGTCTCTGGTAAGCTAAAATTTCAAACTGTTTAGTTGGGAGGTCAGGATTTTTTTTAAATGAGATATTCAAACCCCTTTTTACTCCTTTAGCCCATTTCATTGTTTTCTTCAACACGTTTATTGGAGGCTGGTGCAACTCTTAACACAATCCATACATCCATCCATTGTGTTAAGCACATTTGTATATCGGTTGCTTGCCCTCATCATTCTCAAAACATTTGTTTTCTACTTGAGTCTTGGTTTCAGCTCATTTTCTCTCCTCCCTCCCTCCTTATCACCCTCCCTCACAAACCCTTGATAATTTGTAAATAATTATTTGATCGTGTCTTAGACTGTCCGATGTCTCCCTTCACCCACTTTTCTGTTATCTTTCTTCCAGGGAGGGGGTTATATGTAGATCCTTGTGATCGGTTCCTCCTTTCTAACCCATCTTTCCTTCACCCTCCCGGTATTGCCACTCTCACCACTGGTCCTGAAGGGATCATCTGTCCTGGAGTCCCTGTGTTTCCAGTTCCTATCTGTACCAGTGTACCTCCTCTAGTCTAGCCGGATATGGATATGTAAGGTAGAACTAGAGGAAAGTTGTATGTTTTATCTTGCTACACTGGGCCCTGGCTGGCTGGTCTCTTCCCTGTGACCCTTCTGTAAGGGGATGTCCAGTTGCCTACAGATGGGCTTTGGGTCTCCACTCCACATGCCACTGCATTCACAATGATAGGATTTTTTGTTCTGATGATGACTGATACTTGATCCTTTGACACCTCGTGATCACACAGGCTGGTGTGCTTCTTCCATGTGGGCTTTGTTGCTTCCCAGCTAGATGGCCACTTGTTTATCTTCAAGCCTTTAAGACCCCAGATGCTATCTATATCTTTTGATAGCTGGGCACCATCAGCTTTGTTCACCACATTTGCTTATGCACCTGCTTTGTCTTCAGCGATCATGTCAGGAAAGTGAGCATCATAGAATTCCAGGTTAATAGAACAAAGTGGTCTTGCATTGAGAGAGTACTTGAGTCCTCCAACCTATTACTTGCCTGAACTGCTATTGCACTTCTACCAAACAGAGCTCATGCCCTTCCCCACAGTTGGGCTCCCTGACCCAGAGCTTCGTACTCTGCCCTCTCTGATTTCTCCTCTGCTGCTTTGCTTTGCTTTACTGAGTTTTGCCTAAGATGAAAACAAAACATTACCAAAAGTGTTTGACAAATGGGTTTCATGATATTTTCCCTTTATCTCATAGTGGTCGTTATTTGCAACTTTTGTCACCAATGTATGAACACCTTGAGACAATAGTTAACTCTTTCACTGGAGATAAACTACTTGTATGGATCGATTAGCCTGTCCCTTACGTATGCCAAAGTCCAAACAATACTTCCTCAATTCCTGAATTCTCCCTCCATCATCACCACCCACTTTTATTTCTGAGAACACCTCCATTACCCTCATGGTCCGCGAAAGTGCTCCAATGCTTGTGCACCCTGACTTGGCCACGTGAACTGTTGAGTGTGACAATAAAGCACCACTTCACAGCTGGATATGATACATTTCACAGCACACAATAATCATTTTTATGCCACATGGTAATTATGGGGTAAAGAATTCCCTTAAATTACTGTAATTAGTATAACTTATCTAGCCCATCCAAGTTTTCTCTTAAGTCTTTTTGTTCTTCTGTGTCTATAAGCAGCTTTGTTATTAAGAGTTTTTCTTGATACATTTTAATCGTTTGTCACACTCTGACATGGAATGGTAATTAAAGGTTCTAGATCTAACTCCTAAACACAGCGGGTAGCATGTTTTCTGGCTTCTCCCCATTCCTGCCAGTTGAAGAACTCTGCAAAAGCATGTCCATTTTGTCCCTGTTCCTACCAACAAGTGCTCTGTGGGGAGCAGCAGAGTCACCAGGTCAGCATGCTCAGGCTTTCGTCTGGCTGAGCGCTCAGGGTGATTGGGAAGGAATAATCCAGAATGAGCACTGAGATGAACCAGATATTAGGACATGTTCTCTCTTTTTTAGCAACTTTTGAGTTCATTTCTTTCCAGAGAACACAGATCACATTTTGGGACCATGGGCATTTCTTTCAGATTGACCATTCCCTACCCCCATAATTGAAAATGGCTAAAGTAGATTAGTATTTGTGGCCACTAGGTGTTAGTTCTCAGCCAACAGGAAGATTCTTACCCATCAGGAATACTTCATAACTTTCTCACTTAGGCCTAAAATTCCTTTTTACATAAGGAAAGTAGGAAAATGTCCCACAGGAGGATATATTGGCCTCTTTAATAATTTTGTCAACAGTCAGCCCATTTTACTTATTTTCCTTATATGGATAAATAGCACCTGCTTTTCTGTCTTTTTTTTAAATCATTTTATTTGGGACTCATGTAACTCATCACAGTCCATACATACATCAATTGTATAAAGCACATTTGTATATTCGTTACCCTCATCATTCTCAAAATAATTGCTTTCCACGTAAGCCCCTGGCATCAGCTCCTCATCACCCCCTCCATGAACACTTGATAATTTATAAATTATTATTTTGTCATATCTTATACTGTCCAACATCTCCCTTCACCCACTTTTCTGTTGTCTGTCCTCCAGGGAGGAGGTTATATGTAGATTGTTGTAAGCGGTTCCCCCTTTCTACCTTACCCTCCCTCCACCCTCCTGATATCGCCACTCTCACCCCTGGTCCTGAAGGAATCATCCACCCTAGATTCCCTGTGGTTCCAATTCCTATCTATACCAGTGTACATCCTCTCTTCTAGCCAGATTTGTAAAATAGATTTTGGATCATGATAGTGGGTCCCGGGGAGGAAGCATTTAAGAACTAGAGGAAAGTTGTATGTTTCATCGTTGCTAGCCTGTACCCTGACTGGCTCTTCCCCTCCCCACAACCCTTCAGTATGGGGGTGTCCAGTTGCCTACCAATGGGCTTTGAGTCTCCACTCTGCACTCACCCACTTTTACAATGATAATGATTTTTTGTTCTTTGATGCCTGATACCTGATCCTATGACACTTCGTGATCACACAGGATGGTGTGCTTCTTCCATGTGGGCTTTGTTGCTTGTCAGATAGATGGTTACTCGTTTATCTTCAAGCTTTTAAGACCCCAGGTGCTATGTCTTTTGATAACCGGGTACCATTAGCTTTCTTAACCACATTTGCTTATGCACCCATTTGTCTTTGGCGATTGTATCTGGGAGGTAAGCACACAGTGATATGATTTTTTTGTTTTTTGATGCCTGATAACTGTTCCCTTTGGCACCTCTGCACCTGCTTTTCGGATTATTAGAGTGCATGTTTTGTTATGTAAGGTTCATTTCACTCTTGTTCTGAGCAAGTTACTACTTAATAAGTTTATTTTTCTCAGGTTTTTCTTCCGTATTCCATATGCCTTCTGAGGCGCATTTCAGAGCTCATCAATCTTGGCCCCCCCCACCCCCTTTAGGTTCTCTGAAACAATACTGGAAGGATGGAGGCTCTCCATTTAGCCCTTTATTAAAAGTCCATGATCATCATTGCTACCGAGACCCTTCAAGTAGCACAGCCTGAGCTTCAGCAGTGTTATCCCAAAATAGGGTGGCCTAAAGCCACAGTCATGTTATTAGAGCTACTGATGTTTGGCTTAGGACCTGACGCTAGCTCAGCTGGCACAGGTCTGCATGTGGCACACACTGGGTCACTGAGTGTGCGCACCAGTGGGCCACAAGGACGGGCCTGAGGTGACTGCACTCACAGTCCTGGGGGGATTGCTAGACCACCTGAAAGCTACTGTACCTCTTGAAGAGCGTAGCTTGGACTTCTTCATATAAAATGGTCTCACAGGAGTTAGACCCTTTTGTGGCAGCTTAGGGTGTTATCAGAAAAGTATCCAAATGCTAGCAATATGGGGAGCCCATGTCTCCCAGCAGGCTCTCGTGACCCAGGCTGTGAAAGTGGTACTCAGTAATGTCAGCCATAGTTACTGGTCTGAATAGTCACGGTTTCTATTCCAAGCAAGGTGAGACAGAGAGCGTTCCTCTGGGTGGACAGAAGACTGGTCCCACTATTCTAGTCGCTGGCAAGAAGTCCTTTGTATTTCTTTCACAGGAAACACAAACATCCCATGATCCCCAAAGTCCCATTCTACTGTATTATCAGGCTTAGGCTGAAGGACTGGGATCTTCTCTTATCAGTCAGGTACAGGTAGGTAAAGATGAATGGTTTGTAGGTACGACTTTCTTAATGATCTTGGTTTGAAGAATTTGTGGTGATACACACAGGTTAGCTGTAAGAAAAATTGGGGTGCGCGCACGTCCACTTTTTCATAGCAGCTCTGAAATCTAGTCAAACACACAGTTCCAGTTCTGTGATCAGGGCCTAGCCTTCTCTCTCAGAATTCTATTTCGCTTGATTGTTGACTTCACCTTCTCAGCTGTTGCTTCTGTTTTAAAACGCCTTCTTTTTTCATTAAAGAGATAGTCCATTTGCACAGCTGAGTGCTTTTCTTAGCTTCGATTACAAACACTATCACTTCTTTCTTGGACCTAAGCTATTAAGAATTCTTGAGAAACATTGGATGCTTGGCTCTGATCTGCAAATACTCATACAGTCAAGGCGTTGGTTGTCTTTTCAATTTCTTGATTTCCTTTAAACCACAGAAGTTTTAAACTTAATAAGTCACACTTGTTTGTTTACTTTTATTTTTGATGTCTTGTCAATGAAATCATTGTTTACGCTTATATTATTTTGGTTCCACGCCCTGGTAAGAAATTTAGCAGTAGTGCTTACCTTTCACTCTGCGTATTATCTTTGAGTATGGTCTGACATAACCAATACAAAGCTTGCTGCTATCTAATTGATTCCAACTCCTAGTGATCCAATGTAGGGTTTCTAAGACTGTGAACCTTTCTGAAAGCAGCTGCCCTCTTCATGCTCCACGGAATGGCTGGTGGGCTTGAACTAGTATACCTTGGTGTTACACCCCACAGCACCTATGGCCTGGAATAGATTATTGATTTTATTTTTCCCACACATGAATATTACTCAGTTGTCCCTGTGTCGTTAATTGGAAACTCCCTTTTTACTAATGCATTATAGAAATATTGGCGTGTGTGTGTGTGTGTGTGTGTGTGTGTGTGTGTGTGTGTGATATAAGAATGTTAATGGATCTCTATAGCCATCATCCAGCTTTGGTGATTGTATCTTTTTCATTTGTCTCTTACTTGCTCTTAGGTGGGAAGTGGGTGTTGCTGGAGTATTCTAAAATAAACCGGAGGCATTATTTCTTACAGAAATACTTCAGAGAGACTCACTCACTCACTCTCTCACTCACTCACTTACTCTCTCACTCACTCACTGACTCATTCACTCACTCACTCACTGACTCATTCACTCACTCACACTGACTTACTCACTCACTCACTCACTCACTCTCATTCACACACTCACTCTCTCACTGACTCATTCACTCACTCACTCACTCACT